CGGAAGCAAACCTCGTGTGCATTTATAAATCATAAATACGGTTTTACATGCGTACTTAGAATTCGTGCAAAAGTGGGACTGAAACGGCTTAAAGCGATGGATAAGCAGCGCAGATTACACGAGAAGTGAAGCTTCAGGGAGGTATGTAAAGACCTGGCTTCGTCGCGTTATTTTCATCCGCAACCTATTATCTCCTTGTCCAGCCAGCGATACCTAACTGGACTTTTAACGAAGGTAGGTCGGGCAAACCTTCACGTAGATTGCTGCAATCAGCTGCACAACTGTCTACTAGATCATTAAGAGTGCATTTACGCAAAGATGCATCACTTATTAGGAAGGATCGACGAGTTGGACGCACATCGATTAGTACGGAGTAAAGGGAACGGCATGCCCGATAACATAGGGCTAACAGAAGGCCAGGAGACGTTTTAGATGACGGGGATAATTTTACCGTGGTAAAAGTGCAAAATAATGACAACGTGATCAGGAAATGAAACGGAATTATCACAATACAACACAGTTATAAGTTCGGAAGGACAAGGAATGGGCAGCCATATTTGTCCTCAGAAAAGCGTAAACCAAGATCAGTCCTGCTTCGGACGGCCCGGGGTGATACGATACAGAATGCCATCACGTCCAGGATCCATATTCCAAATACCGTGAGCGACATACCAGACAGACAAGATGAGAGTCACTGTCAGCCAGAAGATAATATTAAACATGACTGGGTACTCCGGATCGACATCCGGAGCCAGATTCAGGAACTTTGCGACTTCGAGATCCTACAAGTAGAGAGAATTCAGGTTGAGGGAGCATGCTACTGCGACAAAACGGACTACAGTAGGATGGTAAGTAGTTTCGATAGAGGGCAACATGTAGACTGAAAAGTGGCAAATAGAATGGAGCCAGACACACAACGAACACACAACCGCCAAGAACACACTGTGGATTCAAAAGGATATATTTAATGTATTCGGACAGGCAAACGGTCATTGGATCACAGTAGGCAGGAAACGAAAGTATAGCAAGAGGGAAGAAAGGGGGGCAGGTTTGGGCGGTTCTCAAAACGAGAGTTCCTTTTTTGGATTGAGCATGTCAACATCATCCGTGACACCACCCTCGGGAAATTCCAGGCGGAAGC